AAATCGATCGTCGATCAAAAAAAAAAAAAAAAAAAGATTTCACCTTTAAAAAACAGTTACAAATAGAAAAAAATTAACTTAAAAAAAATTCACTCAGGCCCAATATTAATTAAAAAAAATTAATTGTCTAAAAATCCTCCTCCTTACTCCTTCTTGAGCGCATGGAAGGTATTAATGTGTCGTCTGACGCAGTACGAGTATTTGCTCGTGAAATCGCACAGCGGGCAGTTGAAGTCGTTGCCAGCAGCGCGGTCGTGTAAATTTTTCACGTGTCTCTCGATGTTTGCCTTGTAACTGCTGCGATACGGACAGGTATTGCACTGATAAACACCAGAACGTGGAACGTTTTTGCAGGTGAGCAGGACGTGGCGCTTGAGAAGCTTACGTTGCTGGAAATTGGCGCCACAGTGAGGACAGTCGTGTCGTTGGACTTGAAGGTAGTACTTGCTGTCCTCACCAGCAAAGGACTGGCTCCGCTGTACCGGGGGAAGAGTGAAACGATGGTCCAGAGTCACGTGAAAATAGGTAAAGCCTGCAACATGAGTGCACATAACGTTAGGGTTACATGGTTAGTATGTGAGAGTTTTTTTTTTTTTTTTTTTTTTTTAACTATAAAACTCTTGCATAATCCATTTGGGTGTGACAAAGAGCAATCCTCCAGCATCGTAGATTCGTATCCCAACGAATAACCGCAGTCGCCTCGAGGGCCTCATTTGGACTCATTCCAGAGATTCGCGTTATTCCTTCCGTCCGGACTTTTTTTATTATTACACTGTGCCGCCATTTCAATGATTTGCAAAAATTAATCCAAAAAAAAAGTAAAAAAAAATTGACATTGAAAAGTCATAATCCCACCCTTGGGATGGAAAAAGGAAAAAAGAGAAAAGTCACGTTAAGCCCATACAATAAATACCCTCGATCGGCCATCCGCGTTAACCATTGAATAATACACGCCCGATAGAGAGGGATCCACGAAGCTGGAACGCACTAAATAATTCACGCGTACCCGCGCAAAATACGAGCCCGGACTTTCGGCGCATACGAATATATATA